CTATTAGGTACAGAAGACGAAGGATGAGAAGAATTACCAGAGGCTGTAGCTTGAGCTCTTCCTGCATGTCTGGTTCTGAGCTTTTTTACTCTGGCTGGGTCAGTTGCCATCTCCCTGAGAGGAGTGACCTCAAGAACTTCAGATTCTATGCATGTAGTGATTGCCCTAGAATCTTGATCAGATGATGCCAATGATGAGGAAGACGAAGCCGCCATGGTGGAAGACGATGTCTGAGACATTTTGATTGACTTTGAGTAATAGTAGCAGTTTGAGAAAAATCTTTGATTGGGAGGAGGAAACAGGTTGCAAGGATGAGAGAGGTAGGGGGTAAAAGGGAGTCTCTTCAACTTCTTAAAGCTTTTGAAGGAATTGTGAAAGAATATGATTAACCCACTAAACATAGACTTAATAAAATTAATCCCTTCAACCCTTGTTTTAAGCAAAACTAATTGCTATAATTTCTCATGTTGGTGAATACCCAACCTGCCCCTCAAATTTTCAAGTTTATTTCCAACAAGAGCCTTGGTAGAAGAATCAGTCAGCTGAAGCTTAGAGAAACTGTGTTCCAGTTTAAATGACTTCTTCTCTTCAAAGTCAATAGGGTTCAAGGAAATGTTGAATGTTTTCAGATTGTCACAACACATTGTCACAACATCTTGTGTAACATTGTACTCAGGGAGCATCTGTTTTGACCAGAATTTATTAGACTTGTTATTTCCAACATCCTTGTCAAGATGACTTAAGGTTTTGACAACACATTCTTCTTCAAGTTTATTTGCCACATCACATATATTATCAGCCTGTAGTTTTGGAGTTCTTCTGACAGCTTCCATAGCCTTTTTCATTCTTCCAAGCTTATGCTGCCACAGTTTCATCTCTTTTTCTTTTTTGATGATTTGACACATAGTGGAGATATCAGTGTTCTCAGGCTGCCACACGTAACAGTTATCTTTGGATTTGATTCCCCTCATTACAACATCTAGTTTTTCATTAAATACTAGACATTCAGATCTTGAGAAGTTGACCATGAATCCTAGATCACATAATTGACAGATACTAATGAGATTAGTAGTCAACCCTTTTACCAGCAGTACTTTATTCAGACTTGGAACTCCAGGGCAGTCCAAATTACCAACTCCTTTGACTTCACCTTTAGCACCATCTCCAAAGGTCACAAAACTGGTGGTGTGAGGCATAACATTATTGAGGAGATTTTTGAATCCAGTCATGTGTCTGGAACATCCACTGTCAAAGTACCAATCTTCCTTTGCAGAGACCCTCAGGGAAGTGTGAGCTATCAGTGCAACAGCCTTTTTCTTCCATTTAGGAACATGAAGTACCTTTTTAGACTTAGGTTTGACACCTGAGTTCTGATTAGGATATCCATGTAGTCTGAAGCAGAAGGGCTTTATGTGACCATATCTCCCACAATGATGACATTTCCATCTTTGGTACCTCTTCTTCATATGTCTCTGTCCCTGATGTTGAGAGTTGTGTTGAGACATCCGTTTTGACATTTGCTTACCAGTACCAGATTTCTTTGCTTCCACAAATCCTAGTCCAGATTTATTTCCCATATTTTGTCCAGCCTGAAGGATCTCTTCCAATTTGTCTGTTCCATTGGTCAACATCTTGACAGATTTGGTCATTTGATTCAGTTGTGAGTTCAGCAATTGAACTTCTCCTTCTAGATGACTTATAGTTTCAAGATTCGCCCTTTTTTCAGCCTCCAGTTTGATAATGAGTTTTGATTGTTTCTCATTCTACACACAGACTTCAGCACTTCTGATACACAATTTCTTGTAGGTATCAGCCAGTTCTTCAAATGTTACTTCTTCATCACTAGTATCACTTTCAGAAGTACAAACACTAGTTAGGGCAGTAACTAGTTTGGCAAATTCTTCTTCAGAATTACTTTCTGAATCATAGTCAGACCAAGTAACAGTCATTCCTTTCTTTTGCTTCTTAAGAAAGGTAGGACATTCAGCTCGAATATGTCCATATCCTTCACATCCATGGCATTGAATACCTCTGCCTTGGTTTCCCTTATCTTCTGACCTTGGTCTTCTGCTGGAACTGTCAATGTCAGAGGGAATGTTATGAACATTAGACCTTGACTTTGGGTCCATTCTTTTGATGAGCCTGTTGAATTGTCTTCCAAGCATGGCAATAGCTTCAGATATGTTTTCTTCTTCATCCTCCTTGTATTCAACATCAGTGTTGGATACAAGTGCTATGCTTTTGTTCTTCTTGTCACCATTATCAGTGATCCCCATCTCAAAAGTCTGAAGAGACCCAATAAGTTCATCCACTTTCAACTTGCTAATGTCCTGGGCTTCCTCTATGGCAGTTACCTTCATTGCAAATCTTTTAGGCAAGGATCTGAGAATCTTCCTTACTAGTTTTTCTTCTGACATTTTTTCTCCCAGTGCTCCTGAGGTGTTGGCAATCTCCAAGATGTTCATGTGAAACTCATGAATGGTTTCATCTTCCATCATTTTTAGATTCTCAAATTTAGTGGTCAACATCTGAAGCCTTGACATTTTTACTTTGGAAGTGCCCTCATGAGTAGTTCTGAGAGTGTCCCAAACTTCCTTGGCCAGTTCATATTGATGTACTAGTCTGAAAATGTTTCTATCAATTCCATTGAATAAGGCATTTAGAGCTTTTGAATTTCCCAGAGCTAACTCATCTTCTTCTTTACTCCAATCTTCCTCAGGTTTCAGACTGATTGTCCCATCTCTCTCAGTTATGGTGGGATGAATCCATCCTTTATCAGCAGCTCTCCAAGCCTTTTTGTCCAGAGATTTTAGGAAGGCAATCATACGAGGTTTCCAGTAGTCATAATTGGTTCCGTCCAGAATGGGTGGTCTATTTCCAAAAACTCCTTCTTTGTCCATAGTGCCAGAAAGTGATATCCCTAGATCTCACCCAGTAATACAGGCAGGGTGCCTGCTCTGATGCCAATTGAAATTCTGGCTGCAGATACTCAATGTCACGTCCAATGTTATGACACCGTATCTGACTTACTATATGACAGTAAATACAAAAGCAGTAAAGAACACAGTCAATTGTTTACCCAGTTCAGTGTGCAACAACACCTACTCTGGGGGCTACCAAGCCAGGGAGAGAATCCACTACAAGAGATGTTAATTCAGGAATAAACCAACCAGTTTATCTCCTTCACTTAAGACCTACCCAATGCAATTCTAATCTAAGTACAACTTAAACCTGAGTTCCTACTCACTCCCCCTCAATCACAGCAGTGATACATAAACCAATTTGACTTAAGAATTTGATGAAGACACTCTTCAAAAAACACACACTTGATTAAGCTTCACAGCTTTTTAATCAAGCAACACAATCACTCGTGCTTCACAGCTTTGAGTGATGTACACAACTAACTTGACTCTGCTTCACAACTTTAGTCAAGTAACATTCAAACACTCTTACTTCAAAGCTTAGAGTGCTACACAACCCTTACAATTTGAAACCTATTCCAAGGCACTTATCACAATGATAATTGCTTGGAGTACAATAAACAAATCTATACAGATTACAAATGATCTTCTAATCAATCAGCAGGGATCCTTGAAAAACAGCGGCTCTGTTGAATATATAGCAGCTGCAACTTCAGTTAGGGTTTCCAAAAACCTAGGGTTGATTCCGTTTGACCTAAAGACCAGGTCACAGGACTTTATTAACCAGGTTAGGGTTGAGTTAGGTTATCCCTCAGAAAACGCAGGATTCTGTTCAGGAAGGACTGAGTTATTTCCTGAAAAAACTCAGACTTATCCAATCCTGCAATCCTGTTAGTTCAGAACAGGATGTCATAACATCTGTTATGACATCTGAGAAAACCTGTCTACTGATTTAGCAAAATGTGATCATTTTGCAAAAGTGCTCAGATACACACTTATAAACATCAGTATATGAATTACAATATTTTTCTGCAAGTGTACCTAATGAGTTAGTACAACCTGAACTAGAATGTTATGACATCAGTCATGACATTCACACATACACTTGGGATTTACCAAAAATGCAAGCCAATACCTAAACACCTACATTTTGGATAAAAGAAAATTCGGTGGCGACTCTTGCTAACTGCAAAATTTGCGATCAAATGCAAAACATCTCAAGTCAGTTCTCCCACCGTATTACAACTATATTTTGACAATATGATTGAAATTGTACTCAAATTGTAAAATTGGGAATTTTCTCAAGATTTTGTTTTAACATAAAAATAAGTAAAGTTTTTGGAAAAATATTAGAGAATAAAAGTGACTAGGTCTTTTCAGAATCCTTAGCTTCTCCCTGTTGGTAATTGTGTCTATCTCCTAACATGAATTTTTAGTTAAATTATAAATTAATCTGATCAATATACCCAATTTCTTAGTGTATAACTCACTCTTTCAGTAAAAAAACCCTAATTTCTTAGGTGAATTCGAAGCCAAAATAGAAGAAAAAAAATACTCGTTAATTTTTATCTCACAAACTTATAAATATTTATTCCTAAATCAATTTACTAAGTTTGAATAGTTAATCTAATTCTGGTATGTAGCATTAGGGTTAGTAAAACTTAAGATCAATTTATATGCTCTTCAACACATAAAAGGCATTAAGATTAAAATTAACAAAATAAAAACTAGAATTTCATATCAAAGGAAATAGTACAAAGGCAATTACATGATTCAACGGGTTAAATAAACTTTATATTCAACGACCTAATCTGGAGTTAATTAGCTACTCATAATACAGTTAATCATAACTATAAATTTAACTCATTTATAATTCCACGTGACTTTTCTAGAGAGAATGTAGACCTTCTCTCTCTAAAAAAGCCTTATCGTGTCTCCTTTTCCCTCATCCACTGGTTTTAGTGGCTTTTCTTCCAGATTCTTCTGGCCTTTCAACCCATCTTCTGGTTGGGTTTTTCTTTCTTTCCCTTCTAGCTAATTGGTTGTGTTTCTCTAAAAGTCGCATTTCTTTCTCTAAGAATGGATAAATGGAAATCCTTTGCTCTCTCAAAGGAAGAAGAAGAAGGGGTAGTCGCTGATGAAGAAGAGATAATTGAAGATGAATCTATGCAGAGAACGCTTGCGGGTAAACTGTGGACTGAAAGTAGTTTTAACACCAGAGCTTTCAAGAACACAATGCTGAATGCTTGGAAGCTGAAACTCCCCGTGGAAATACAATATCTGATTAAAAACCTTTTTATTTTCAAGTTCGGCTCAAAGAGAGATATGGAATTTGTTCTTAAGTCTGGACCATGGAGTTTTGATAGAGTGCTGCTAGTGCTGAATCGCATATCCAGAGAGGAACAACCTTTATATTTAAACTTGCACTCAAGTTCCTTCTGGGTGAGAATTTATGACTTGCCTCTTATGCTTAGATATGAATCAATGGCGAAGAAGTTGGGGAATATCATTGGATCCTTTGAAGAAATGGATGTCAAAGAGGCACACAGAAATGGAAGGTTTTTGCGTATCAAAGTTTCGGTGGATCTGAAGGAACCTTTAAAACGTGAGGCGATGGTGACTTTCAAAGAGAGAAAGATTAGGGTCCACTTTAAGTATGAAAGATTGTCGACATTTTGCTTTGTCTGTGGAAGGATGGGACACCAGATTAAAGATTGCAAAGCAGTAGAGAATCTGAATGAAGAAGGCTTTGAGGAGTTGGAGGAGCAAGACCTCGCTTTTTGGCAATGGCTTTGTGCGTACCCTCTTCCAAAATTGATGGATGATTTATAAAAGAGAGAATCAAGCTCTATTTTATGTAGTAGAGAACTCTTCAATGTCTCATCTAATCAGTGTTGTTGTGAATCAAAAGGGAAAGACAGGGGTGAAGATCTTGAGGTTCAGCAAGGCATCATGAATTCAACTCTCCACAAAGGATGTGAGTAGTGAGGACATGACTCAAACCCTAAGTCTGTGGATGTGGAATCGGTAGCTGAATCTCTTGGAGAAGTAGCATTGACAATTGAGAAAGCTCCCAGGAAAGAAACTTCTACTCCAGGAGGTGTTCAGAAAAAGAAATGGACTAGAAGGAAGACAGTTGAAAGTGTTAAGACTGTTACAAGAATTCTGCCCAAGCCAAAAGCAAACAAGCGACATTTAGTGGATACTATGATTGTTGAAGGAAATTTAGACGAGTGTGGTGTGGGAGAAAAGAAAAGGAAACAAACTGGAGATGTTAGTGGTGTTCTAAACAATGGACCAGAGTTGGTGTTGGAAGACCAACACCGCCTTCCACAATGAAAATAATAAGTTAAAACTGCAGGGGTCTGGGGAGCCCTTGTGTAGTTCGAAGCCTTGTGAGGCTTCTCAGTTCCGAAAATCCTCATCTTGTCTTTTTAATGGAGACAAGGCTTAAGAGTGATGAGTTAATGAAATTAAAGAGGAGATTCAAATTTGTTGTTGATTTGTGTGTTGACTGTAGAGGTTCGGGGAGAGATAGAGTTGGAGGGTTGTGTTTACGGTGGAATGAGGGGACTGATATCAACATTCATTCTTTTTCTCAGAATCATATAGCGGGGAGCTGCCAGCAGGATGGTGATGATGATGATCCTTGGTCCTTTACTTGTATCTACGGTTTCCCGAAGGAGGAAAGGAAGAAAGATACTTGGAACCTAATTCAGGCTTTGCGAGAAGAGGTTGGAAATCAAATGATTTTCTTTGGTGATCTTAACGATACTTAGCTTGATTCGGACAAATATGGTGGTATTTGCAAGACTACTTCTCAACTTAATTTGGGAAGAAGCGTCATGGCTGTGTGTGGTCCCCAAGAAGTGGGCTTCGAGGGGTATCCCTTTACCTGGTCTAATGGTAGACAGGGGGGGTCAAAATATCTAGTGCAGGCTTGATAGAAGTTTGTTTTCTTTTGATTTTGTGCAGTGTTTTCCTCTCACCAAAGTGGTGCATCTAGAGAGGTTTGGATTTGATCATGTTGCAATTCGCATTCTCATTCAATTGGAACTGGAGACTGAAAAAAGAAAATACTTGTTTCGTTTTGAAGAGGCTTGGTTCAAGGAAGAGAGTTGTGGAGATGTTGTGCGGCAATTATGGTGCAGAAATCCTGTTTCTATTCATTATCGTGTTAAGGCCATGGAAGATATGCAATACTATTTCAAAGGCCTTCGTACCAACTGTTTAAGGAAGGAAATTGGTAGGCTAGAGAATCTTATTAAGTAAGATAGGAGATAGTCATGGGATATGGGGGAAATTCAACAGTATAAAGTGATTGAATGCCAAAGAGACGGGCTTTTGAAATCAGAGGAAATAATGTGGAGACAGCATAGCCGTGCGGTGTGGCTCAAGGACGACGATAGGAACATAAATTTTTCCATTGTAAATCTAATCAAAGGAGGAGGACCAACTCGATTAAAAGGCTGAAGGATAGTATGGGGAATTGGCAGAAGGGTCATACAAAATGCGAAAGAATTTGGATTAATTATTTTGAAGAGATCTTTATATCTACTAGTAATAACAATATTTTTTAGGTTTGTGGTTTCATTCGGGGGAGACTTTCAGATTGCAACAAGCTGCTCTGTGAAATCCAATTTTCTACTGAGGAGGTTAGAGAAGCAATCTTTCAAATGCATCCCACTAAATCCCCTGGCCCTGATGGGCTTCCAGCCCTCTTTTTCTAGAAATATTGGCCTACGGTTGGCAACGATGTAACATTATGCGCTAGATATTCTCAACAATAATGGGGATCCTATTGTTATAAACAATACCTTTATTACCCTTATTCCTAAAATTAAGAAACCTGCAACAACAATGGATTTCATACCTATTAGTCTTTGCAATGTTATTATGAAGGCGGTTACTAAGTCGATTGCCAATAGGTTGAAGACTTTTCTTCCTGGGATTATTAGTGAAAAGCAAAGTGCATTTATCTGGGGAAGACTCATTACTGATAATGCACTTATTGCCATGGAGTGCTTTCACTGGATGAAACATAAAAAGAATGGTAGAAAGGGCACTATGGCGCTGAAGTTGGACACGTCGAAGGCTTCTGATAGATTAGAGTGGAACTTTGTGTCTGAAACTCTGGAAAAAAATGGAATTTCCCCCAGGTTTAATCTCTTTCATTCATAGATGCATTTCTACAGTCTCCTATCAACTGCTTATTAACAGTCATCCCAACAAGAAGTTCTTCCCAAATAGGGGTCTCCACCAAGGAGACCCTTTCTCACCCTATTTATTTGTTATTTATGCAGATGTGCTCTCTAGGATGATTAGAAGCGATATGGTGAACAATAAGATTCATGGCATCAAAGTGGAACGCAAGTCTCCTATCATTTCTCATCTTTTCTCTGTCGACGATAGTCTTATGTTTTCTAGAGCTAGTGAGGAGGAGGTTGGCTGAATTAACCATATCCTCAAGCTTTATCAAGATGCATCGGGTCAAATGGTGAATGTCGAAAAATCTGATGTCTCATTTAGTGGTAATATGGGGGAGGTTGTTATGGGCAGAATCGAGGCCAAGTTGGTTTTTCATGGGGTAAATAATCACTCTTGTTATTTGGGGCTTCCGGTTGTTTTTGGAAGGTCTGAGAAGGAAGTGTTCAAGCTTGTTGTTGAGAGGTTTTGGAAGAAGGTTAAGGGGTGGAAGGAGAATTTTCTTTCCAAAGCTGGCAAAGAAGTTTTGATCAAAGCAGTCGCGCAAGCAATTCCAATGTATATTATGAGTTGCTACATAATTCCAGAGAGTTGCTATAAAGAAATCGAAGATATGATTGCTAAGTTTTGGTGGGGTTCGAAAGAAGGAGAGCGGAAGATTCATTGGTTAAAGTGGTAAAAATTGGCTAGATCTAAAGGAGACAGAGGTATTGGTTTTAGGGGCATTCGTGATTTCAACATCAGTATGTTGGGTAAACAACTCTGGAGGCTATTGCAGGCTGATTGCTCTCTAATGGAGAGATTTTTCAAAGGGCGATACTACCCTCGATGTTCCATTACTGCTGCTCAGGGCGGTTACAATCCTAGTTTTTCTTGGGGTAGCATTTTGAGCTCTAAAGATGTTGTTCTTAATGGTTCAAGATGGGGTATTGGAAATGGAGAAAAGGTTTGTATTGGGGGTGATAGGTGGATTCCAAATCTTCTGGGCTTCCAATTATCGGTTCCGGATAGGGTCTTAACGCCTCTTTCTAGGGTTAAATCCCTCATCGATTTAGATATGGCCTATTGGAATATAGACACTTGTTGTACCCCAAAATTTTCCCTCTCATTTCTCAAGGCATTTCTCACAAGAATTCTCAAAAATTCAAGCTTACACAAATACATTTGAATTTTTCAGCATCAAGTTAAAGAGGAAATTGCTAAAAAGGGCAAAGCAAATGAAAATATTCTTTTTTGACAAAATTGAAGTAAAACAAGTTTTCTTCGATTTTACATCTTTCAATTGGGCACTTTGGCTCCTTCGATGCAAGCTTTGGTTACACCCTTCATTTGGGCACTGGACTCCTTTTGGGCAATTTTATTTCCTGCTTCGTTTGGGCACTAGACTTCTTTTGGACAAGTTCAATTCTTGTTTCGTTTGAACATTTTAGTCTCTTTGTGCAAGATTGGTATACATCTTTCGTTTGTCCATATAAGCCTCTTTCCTGCATGTTTGCCAAATTCACAAGGCAAAATTTTCCACCATGCTAGCATGCACAAGGCCAAAGTCTCCCTTTAAACAACTTGTTGCAAGCTTCAACAGGGCAACACTTATCTTCAACTAGCTTCAATTCACAAGGCAAAAAGCCTCATGCTGATGTCCTTTGATTCAGGAGGCAAAGGCCTCTTTTCTGGTCTCCTTCGATTGCATATTTTGCCTCATGCATGCCTCTTTCGTTTGGGGCATGTGGCCCTTCCTTTGTTGCAAGTTTCGATTGTGCCCTTTACCCTCTGCATGCATTCTTCGTTTGGGGCGTGTGAATCCTTCAATATAAGTTTTGGTTACACCTTTCGTTTGGGGCATGTGGCCCTTCCTTTGTTGCAAGTTTCGATTGTGCCCTATACCCTTTGCATGAATTCTTCGTTTGGGGCATGTGAATCCTTCAATATAAATTTTGGTTACACCTTTTGTTTGGGCATGTTACTCCCTTCATACAAGCTTTCGTTTGAGCAAAGGATCCTTGCATGTTTGCTTAGAGTCATAAAGCAATGGCCTCCTAATGCTTTCATTCGATTCAGAGGCCATTTTCTCTTTGCATGATTCCTTCGACTCACAAACAACCAGAACTCCCTTTAGGCCAGAATGTACAAGGCAAAAAGCTCCCCCATGGCTGGAATTCACAAGGCAATGGTGCCCACGAAGCATTGGTTACTTTCACGCTAGTTTCGACTGGGCAGTATCTTCCTTTGAAATAGTTCGCTTCAACACACATAACCATTGTCTCAAAGACGTACCATGGTAGCACATTCGAAGGACTTGCCAGACATACCTGGATGTCCCAATCGAATGACATATTTTGGTGATCCATTCCAGGGGCATGCCTTTGGTCTAGTCGAATGAACATACAAAAGGCCTAGTCAAAAGACACCTATTTGGGCCCCTTCAAAGGATACCCATATGAGCCATTTAAAGGACACTTTGATTTGAAAAGAAATGTTGTTGAGGAGTCTGGTCAAAGGATAGGCATAGGGGGTCAAAACAAAAGGTTGAGATATCCAAAGATACTTACTATCCAGAGTCTCATATGCTTCCAAGTTCAGGCCTGATACACTGGCCATAACACTCCAAAACTGCTGCACAACAGTCCTGCAACACTGCCTTTGTTCTTGCACCAATTTGGCATTTGAATACTTCCCCTCGAAAGCTACAAGAAAAGCATACCTTTTTTGTTTAAACTTTTTATTTTCCCTCCTAAAACATCATCCAAAATCTCCTATAAATATGAGCCTCCACCATACATCTTAAGGGCTGGAGAGTGGCAAGAAAACTCTTGTTGTGAAAAAAGTGATAAATCTCTCAAAAAACTCTCAAACACTCTCCAACGTTTTTAAATATTCCAAACACTTTTGAAAAACTCAGACCCTTTCACACATTAAGTGGACCCTTAGATTCACTCCTTAAGTTGCCAGATAACTCACCTTCGACCCATTCCCCAACTACAATATAGTAATCCTTTGATTCACTCCTTTACTTGTTATAGAGAAACCTTCGATTCACTCATATATCCTCCTTCGATTCAGTGACTGCTTGAACAAAGTAGTAACTGGACTAGTCTCATGAAGGCCCCAACGAACTTCCATTCACCACCAAGGAGGACACTTGCAGTTTCCTTCAATCTAAGCGCTTCAAGAGGTAAGTTCTCTTTAAACTTGGAACTATTTCATTTAAATATCATGTGTACATGCCAATAAAGAGAAAATGTAGATATTTCATCTAGGGAACTTGACCATGTTTTAACCTTCGATCCTGACTGCCCATATGTTGAAAATCTCAACTCTGACTAGTTAGGCTTTGGACTTTGAGACCCAATAATTCTGTGCTAACCTCTGGCCTGTAGCTTTGGAAAGTTACACTAGAATGTTGCATTTTAAAAGTTTAAAACAGGTTCTCTATATCCTTCGATTGGCTAAGTACTCAAGCCTTTTGAATCTCAATCTGAGGTCCTAACATTCCTGCATTCGAAGGAAGCAGCAAGGAGCCTGAGGCAAAGAGTGCACCTCACGTTGACCCCATGCCTCAAACGAAAGAAGTAGCCAGTAGGATGTCCACACTGACTGTCAGGTCTCAAACGAAAGAAGCAGTTAGAAGGATGGTCACACTGACTTCCTGGTACCAATCGAAAGAAGCGGGAAAAGGGTGAAATCAAAGTACATGACCTTGCTGACTCTAGGCCCAAATCGAAGGAACCCAAGAAGTGCAAAATAGAAGAGTGTGGTTGCCTGAATCGAAAAAGCCCATTTCTCTTTCTTTATTTTATTTTGTCTTTATATTTTCTTCCTATTCGATATGGTTGTAATAGTGTAGGATTTATTTTCTGCATTTTTATTATTTTTGTATAAATGTTAGTAACTAAGATGTATGGCAAGATAAAAATCAACAAGTAGATCACTTTAATCAAAGACTAAATGCATGCAAATCAAACACATTATTCACACACATGCATCCCTGAGGTAATCTCAATTGTTGCCTCGGAAAAATAGTCATGTCCCTCGAATATGGGCGTTTTAGCAAAGACCCTCGATAAAATATCGTAGTCCCTCGATGACCCTCAATGTTGCCTTCGGTAAATGATCTAGTCCCTACACGAAAATTGCTAAAACGTTCCATAGGTTGCCTTCTATGACTATACAAACGTCCCACGTCTGTCCCTTCACATCCAATGATGGGGCTTCTTACCAAATCAATGGTAAGATAACAACATCTAAAGGAGGAGGAAAATAACATGGACTTTTTGAGTAGGTAGGATGCTCCTAGTTGCTTGCTTGTTCACAACAAAAACACTTTATACACCAGCACTTTCATTTGAAACATTTTCAAAAAGACAAAGCTTTTTGTACGCGTTCTTATAGAAATGAGAACCATTACAAAGACACTTTTCAAAATACTTTCAAAACTCATATCACAAACACATTTTCAAACAAAAGCAAGTGATCTAACAAGCAACTAAGAGCTCGTAGATAACTACGGATGAAAAGGGTGCTAATACCTTCCCTTTTCATAACCTACCCCCGAACTCAAGAAAATAATCTCAAAGGTCTTTCATATTATTTTCACCCTTTCCTTATTGGATAAAAGAAAAGTTGGTGGTGACTCTTGCTATCCGCAACAATTGCGATCAAACGCAAAACATCCAAGTCAGTTCTCTCACTGTATTACAACACTCTTAGAGAAAACTTTAATGTTATTGATGCTAACCATATCAGCAGCATTCCTCTCTCCTTTGACCTTCCCAAGGATAAATTGATTTGACACCACGAAACAGACAATAATTATTTGGTTAAGACGGCTTATCATTGTTTGAGGGATCAAAGGCACAAAGTCAATTCAGGGCCCTCTTTTACAGGAAAACCAAAAATTTGGAATCAGATGTGGAAATTAAAGGTGAATTCTAGAGTCAAGAATTTTATGTGGAGACTCTTTAAAGATATTCTGCCTACGAAAACCAATCTCCTTGGAAAAGGTACGCCGAATGATGGTTTATGCCCTTTAAGAAATTCTGAATTGGAAAATACTTTGCATCTATTTCTTCGCTGTGATTTTATTAGGAATATTTTCTTCTCGAACCCGTTGGGAATTCACATTCCCGCTTCTGGCGGTATTGAGGATTGGTTTTGTAGTATTTTCTCAAGGAAAGACACTAAGACACTAAGTTGGCGCAAGTTTTAGCGGTTAGTTTCTGGAAAATCTGGAAGTTGAGGAATTGTGCA